CGGGGGTCAGTGCAGACGGGGGTCAGCCAGGGCACCGGATCCTGCAGGATCCTGCGAAGACCCTCTCTGGCTGACCCGGGTCAGCGAGCCGCTCGTGGCTTCGAGGCGGCCGCGCAGATTGGCTGACCCTGGTTTGCGAAGACCTGCGTTGCAGTTTTTGTTTGTCCTGCATTGCAGTTTTTGGTTTCTTGCTGACCCGGGTCTGGATTGACCCGGGTGGTCAGAAGATCCCCGAAGTGGGTTCGGAAAGGAGGGGTGCAATGCCCAAGAGCAGTTCCTTGTTCATCTTGAGCATCGGAGGTCGATGGACCTCCTGCCCTGACACGTCGATTCAGGAATTGGCCGTGTTCGGTTCGCGAGAGGGCGCCGCGGCCATCACTTTTGCGGGTCCAGGTCCGTCGGTTTCGACCCCAGGCCGCTTTCACTGAGGGGAGGCTTACTGAAGGGAGGTTTGTGCACCGCCGAATGCCCAGCAGCAGCTCCTGCCCCTTTTGGACAGGACTCGCTGCCCGCGCCGCCGCGGCCTGCGCCCACTCGAGGCAGGAGGCCGCCTGCCCAGCAGCGGCCGCTGCTGCTCTGGGACAGCATGTGCTCGGCATCGCTCGGACGTGTGCATTTTCCCTTCGGCGAGGACCATCGAGGAGAAACCTTGATCGTTTGGCGAAAAAGCCACGCACGAGACCGAAAAATGCACAGGAGAGGGGTGTCCGAGCGGTGGCCAGCGTGTGCCGTTGGGCGTCCGGCTCGTGCCGCGCCGCGCAGTGGCGTGCCGGCGCGTGGCCTGGCGCCTCGGGGGCCCGGGCGCCCCCCCTCCCCCCCCGAGACACGACGGCAAAAGTCACGACGGCGGGCGTCTTTCTCAGGAGGGGAAAAAACACACAGACAAAATTATTCGTCGACTCCCAGGAGAATATGGGAAAATATGGGAAGTGGGGGGGAAGACAAAAACATAGAAAATATTGGAAAATATGGGGAATCTTTTAATTTGTGTGTATTTATTTGTGTCCTGGGGCTCCTTCATTTTCGCGATGTTCGGCCTCGGGTTCTGAGGCTCCAGCCTGCTTTAGCCTCGACCACCAGAGGGAGTTTTGCGAGCGCCAGGGGAGTACCGAAACCGGAGGGTTTTCTCATGCCGGGCCCTGGGGGACACTCGTCCGACACTGTTTCGACACTCTTTCGACACTCTTTCGATACTTTTCCGGGTGCTCGAAATTATTTCTGGGATGTGGCCCTTAAGTACGATGGGAGCGACATAAGCCTCGGGGGGCCCTTACCGGGCCTCGGGAGCGTCCGAAAACGACTCAGGACGGAGAGCCAGTCCCGAGGAATGGGTCGAGACCTCCGGGGGGTCGACGTTTTTAACAACTCATGGCTTCGGCGGTCTGGAGAGGGCGCCGCGGCCACCGGGGCAATCGCCGCTTTGGGCGCGGTGGGCTCGCCGTGGGGTTTGCCGCGGTGCCAGCCTCGTGTGCTTCGGCGCTGGGCGCAGGGCTTGCCGTGGGTTTGTCGTGGGATTGTTCGGGGGCGGCCAAGAGGGGGGGGGGTGACTAGGTGGGGGGATCTCATGGCGGGGCCATGATGCAGTCGGGGCGCTGAGGAAGGAACCCTTTTCGTTGGGGAGGGGCTCGCTGTTCCTTGATTGTTTCACAGTTTGCCTTTGGTTTTCCTTGGGTTTCCCATGGGGAAGCGAATTTCAACGTATGGGAAGAATGGGCCTCGTTCCTTATTTAGGGTTCCTCAGGTAAACGTTCCGACTGTAGGTGGGGGATCTCATGGCGGGGCCATGATATCTTTCCACATGTCATAGCGCTCCCTCCTATTTCAATCCGTCCATGGCCCCCCCTCCCCCGGGCTGCGCACGTGCTGCCGGACATGATTTGCGCCCCCACTCCCCCTCTTGGACGCCCCCCTCTTGCACGCCCTCGGTATATTTGGCATCACGCTACCTCGCAGGGGTGGACCTAAACGGTGTTTTGGCGATTTCGTGGGCCGTTTTCGTTTCGACTTCGTTTTGCGGTAAAGCCGGATTGAATACAAAGCGAGGGAAAGCGAACACAAAACGAAAACGAACAACACCGTTTAGGTTCAGCCCTGTTACCTCGGGCCTTTATGAAGGGCTCCCTCCGTTTCTAAGGGCGCATCCTCAAGATTTTCCTTGCCTCGGGATTGCCGATCTTCGGGATGGGGATAAGTTCGAGGCTGGTTACCCGTGGCGCGCCAGCAGAGGCGGGCCCGCCCGCGCGAGCCGCGCGGGTCGTCGTGGTCGTGGTCGTCGCAGTCGTCGTGGTCGTGGTCGTGGTCGTGGTCGTGGTCGTCGTCGTCGTCGTCGTCGTCGTCGTCGTCGTCGTCGTCGGGCCCCCCGCGCGACGCGCTGGTGGGGGTGGGTCATATAGGCCTCCCAGATCCCAGACATGCCCGCATCGTGAAAAAGTCAGGATGGGTAGGTTTTTAGAAGTGTTCTGCCGCTGGGGGGCTCGCCCCGGGCCCCGGGGCCCGTAACAAAAAGGGACAGAGGATGAAAAACTGATAGCGAGGACCGAGGCAGACGTCGGGACTTCCTCGTCGTCGTCCTCGTCCTCGTCTTCGGCACCCGTCGTCATCCGAATCACCACCTCTCAGCACCACTGTGGTCGTTGCCATCCCTGGCCGCGGCATGCGGAAGCGACCGCACCGCACGGCAGCGGCGCGGGGGAGCGGCGCGGCCTCTCGCCGTGCCTCGCGGGCCGCGCCTCTTGCCTGTTCATGGGACCGTTGTTCGGCACCGCCTGATCCTGAGGCTGTGCCTCCTCCCAGCCTCGCCGTGAGGCTGCGCTCTCTCCCCTTCCTCCCCCTCAATGGTAACTCAAGCTTCGCGCGGCCCGCTCAGCTTCGACCGGAAGAGGTGCGCTCTCGACCCGCGAATCAAAAACTGTTCACGGGACCGCGTCCCATGAACAAAATCAGGGCGTCGCGTGTCTGGGCCTGGGCCTCGCCGGGAAGCGCCACGGGAAGCGGGTCCGACTGCGCCAGCACTCGCGGGCGGGCTGCCCGCACAGGGTCGCCCGCAGGCGCCTCGTTTCCCATGTGGCGTGCCGTGCTGGTGGCCCGCGGAAGCCGCGACATAAGGTCGCTGTGTCACCCTGCGTAATGGAGGATGACGATTAATCAATGACCGGGGGTCGTGTTCACGCGGCGGCGCCCGGGATGACGATTAGAAAACACAGGCCGCGGGCTGGACAACTATTTTTTAATCGTTCTCCTCCAGTCAGAAACTTATGCGGAAATCGCAGACAACTAGTTGTTTAATCGTTCTCTCCCATTTTTTATTAATCGTCATCCCGCATTACCCTTGCATCCTTCCCCTTCGGCCCATCCTTGGCCACTTTCGCTGGCCAGCCCCACTTGAGAAACGTCAACATGGCCTTCCAAGGCCCTCGGGTTGACTGTCAGGCCCGTTTCTTCTCGTCGCTCAGATGGGGTCCGAGTAGATGGGGTCGGAAGATCGCGCCTCATCGCCGATGCATCGGCGATGTGGCTCGATGCGGAGGCAGATTTTCTACACGCCGACGTCGCCGATACGTCGCCGACGTCGCGGGTGTATCGCCGATGCATTGGCGATGCATCGGCGATGCGGCGTCATGCGGTCCTCCGACCCCATCTGCTCCGGGCCCATTTGGGAGGCCTCTAGGCACCCACCGCATCGAATGAAAACAGCACGGAGGCCTGCGGTAGTTTTCGGCCCCGGGGGGGCCCTCGGCGAGCCTCAGGATTGTTAAGACGAGGCGGATGGGGGGCACTCGACGGGCCCCGCGCGCGTGGCGCGGGTGGGGCGGGGGAGGCTCGGAGCGGGCCCCAGGGGATGCTCACGGCGTGAGAAGCTCGGGCGTTTTTTTTTTTTTTTTTTTTTTTTTTCAGTTGTTGGTCGTTTTGGTCCTCTGGGGGCCCTCGCCGGCGCTGTCGGAGAACGACACTCGGGAGGAGGCGCCGCCCCTGCGGAGGGTGGGGGGGCTACTTCCGGGAACCCAGTGCCGACAAAGATTTGGGCGTTGCGTAATGGGGGGGTCACAAATGGGGGGGCGGCGAGGGTGGTCCGAAAAGGTACCCAAACGGTGCCCAAACGAGCCCCCATGGGGCTCCGGAGGGGCCCGAACGGGGCACGAAAGGGGGCCGTTTCTGACCCCCCCATTTGTGACACCCCCATTAAGCCACGCCCAAAAAATCAGGGCACGGGATCTCGGCTGGAGCCCGATGAGGGGCCGAGGCGGCCCCAGCAGTGGTTCTGGCCGAGCAGGGGGGCAGAACGTGGCTCCCTCGTCACAACGGCTGGGCGCGCCTGGAAGAGCTGTTTTTTCCAACCATCATCCTGTGGTGTTGGGTCCTCGTTTTGAAGAGACGGTGCCCCGCGTTCCTTCCTCCTTCCTCCTCCTTCTCCTCCTCCCCCTCCGCGTCCGCGCCACCAATTTCGGCACACCCCTCACACTGTTCGCGGCCCCATAGGGAGCTCCACCGAAGGCTGCAGTAGGAGGGTCCGCATGGCACCACCGCCCCATTTCGGCACACCCCTCGCACGGTGTGTTGCCCCACGGGGATCTCAGGGTTCCTCCCACTCGAATGTCTCATCCTTCCCTCCATACATTGTCGTCCTCCCCCTCCTGCCTGTCCTCCCCTGCTCCTGATCGTCGTCCCCCCCCATCCTCCAAGAGAACCTTTCCCTCCTCCTCGTCCATCACCTCGTCCACTCCCTCTCCCCGATCGGGCACCGTCCTGACCAGCGTTTTGACCGGCCCCAGCTTCCCATCCTCCGCACTCTGCGCCTTCCTCCTTTCTCCCGTACTCCCCCGTCTTCCCTCCCTCCACTCCTCCTCCTTCCCGATACTCCTCCCTCTTCTTCCATCTCTGCCTTCTCATGTCCGTAGCCCTATGGGCTCAAGCCGTTCCGGTGAAAGCCATACTTGGCTCAGGAGTTCTGCGGCTCTCCGCAGCCGAACTGTCGCCCTGCACAGGAGGTCAAGCGCGCCACAATGGTCATCAAGACAGACCTGTGCGCATACACCGAGTACCGCATTTACCCAGGATGCGGCAAGCGGTTTGTGGCGAGAGACGGCAAGGTGCACTTCTTCATCAGCTCCAAGGTCGCCTCCCTGCACCACCAGAGGATCAAGCCGGTGAGGCTGCGCTGGACCCAGGCGTGGCGGCGCATGAACAAGAAGGGCAAGGTCGACGAGAACCAGAAGAAGCGCACCCGAAAGGCGCAAAAGTTTCAGAAAGCCATCGTCGGCATGTCCCTCGACGACATCAAGAAGAAGAAGGCTCAGAAGCCCGAGCTGCGGCAGCAGGCGAAGGAGCAGGCGGCGAAGGAGGCCAAGGCGCGTCAGGCCACGAAGGCGACCAAGCCGAAGGCTGCCGCGCCCAAGGGCAAGGCCGACAGCAAGGCGCCGAAGGCCAAGGACATGAAGGGCGGCGCGCAGAACAAGAGCAAGGCTCAGGAGGAAAAGAAGCACACAGACACGAACAGATGTCGATTCCGAGGAGAATGTGAGAACAGATAGGGAGTGGAGGGGAAGATGAAACTCAACAAACATATACATGAATAATGGGGGAACCGGGGATCTGTTCTTATCTCTTTGTGTGTCCTTGTGCCCCCTCAGAGGCGCCCAAGATGCCCGGGAAGATGTGAGCTCTCCGGCGCGCCGCGGCAGAGCGCCCGGCTGGTCCCAAGCACGCCTCGCGCGGCCTCCGTGGACGCCGCCAGCGCGGGCGCGCGACGGCATGATCAGAGCGCGATGCCCCCCTCCGCCCGCCTGCCCCTCTCCCCCGCCCGCGCGCTCCCGCGCGCGTTGGCCGGGGCGGCAGAGAGGGGGGGGTCATAACGAGGGGGGAGTCGACTGCACGTAAGAGTGACCTTTCGCCGGAGTGACCTCTAGTGCGGGCTCATCGGGCTCCCCCCGATCGCCGAGCGCGATGCGATATAAGCGGCCCGCGCCCTAAGGGCGCCGCCCTTGGGTTTGGCTCCCTCGCGCCCCCAAGAGCTGCGCACCAAAGGTCACTCTTACCCAGGGTCACTCTTACGCCTAGCCGAGGGAGGGGTATCATGGCGGGGGCCATGATGTCTCCCCAGATTTCCTGGCGCCGCTTCTCATTTCAGTGCGTCTCCAGCCCCCCCTTGGGCCGCGCACATTCCGCCGGCCATGTCTTGCGCCCCCCCTCTTGGACGCCCACCCCCTCGATTTTTCAGTATGGGGCCCCTGGAAGTCCCAGCCCATCCCCGGGACCCATTTTTTCCTCCCGAGCCGTTTTGCTGACTGTCCCGGGGCCTGTTAAGGGCTCCCAGAGGCAGAAAACGGCGAAGAATCTCCCGTTTTGATGTTTGCACGATTCTACGATTTTATCAGATCTATGATTGGTGGTGCCGCCCCCTCCCTCTCGTCGCTGGCCCCTCGCGGGGGCCCTCGAGGGGCTTCCGCCATCCTGGCAACCGGACTGCTTCACGGTGCAGAGGGTGGCCGTGGAGAGTCGGTGCCAGGAGGCTCGTCGTCGTCACCGGCTGATGCAGAGGAGGGGGAGAAGGAGGAGGGATGATTATGATTGTGATGGCAATGGTGATTGTGTTTGTGATGGTCATGATGGTGACGGCGGTGGTGGTTGTGGTGATGGTGATGTTGATGATCATGATGATGATTATGATGATGATCATGGTGGCGATGATGATGATGATGATGATTATGATGATGATGGTGGTGATGGCAATGATGATGTTGTTAATGATGGTCATGGTGATGGCGATCGTGATGGTGGTAATGGTCATGGTGATGACGATGACGATGATGATGATGATGGTGATGCTGATTATGCTGATGATGGTTATGATGATGATGATGATGCTGCAAGTGATGATGATGATGATGATGATGATGATGATGATGATGATGATGATGAAGAGAAATGCTGGGATGCGGCTCATGATGGTGCTGATGAGGATGGTTGCGCCAGTGATGAACATGCTGATGATGATGGTGATGACGGGGATGATGGACGTGGAGGTGGCGATGAGTTCGATGATGACGATTGTGGTGTTCATGGTCGTTGTAATGGTTATGAATGCTGTGAGGTTGATGTAGATCTTGATGGTCATGGTGTTGATGATTCCGACGACAACGGTTGCGACGACGATGACAGTAACGACGGTTATGATGATGATGATGATGATGATGATGATGATGATGATGATGATGATGATGATGATGGCGATGGTGACGATGATGAAGACGATGGCACTGATGATGATGACGATGATGCTGATCACGACGGTGTTGCTTAAGCTTATGCTGATGGCGATGATGATGATGATGCTGCTGATGATGATGGTGGTTGTAAGATCATAACGATGATGCTGGTGACAATGATGATTATGATGATGACGGCGATGACGATGATGGTCGTGCTGAGTATGGTTACGATGACGATGGTGATGGTGATGTTGCTGATGATGGTGGTTTACATATTGTTGTGTGGTGATGATGAGAAGTACGAAGAGGAGACGACAGGCAAGGTTGAATCGATGCGGATCAGGGACATGAGGGAATGGTATACACTTGAAGGGAGGACGATCAGGATACCAGGATAACCAGGAGGAGGGAGGGAGGGAGGGAGTGAGGGAGGAACGTAGAATGATGAGAAGGGTTATAAGGAGGGGAGCGCATGAGCACGTACGTACACAGCAGACATTCAGAGGACAGGTGTAGAGGAAGGAGGAGGGTAGGATGAGGAATAATGAGGATGGACAAGACGAGGAGAAGAAGGAGGAACACGACGAGGAAGGATGGGGAGGGATCGCTACATATCTTGTGGAGGGATGGGATGGGAGGAGGGGGAAGGAGGATGATGAGGAGGAGGCGAGGGAAGACAAGGGAATCTCCCCCCCCTCCCCCTTCTCGTCATTGTCGTCCTCTTCCCGGCCCAGAAGCCCACACGTGCGCCAACATGGCAGATCTTCGGGAGCACGCTTCGAGGGAGGTTTGGCTCTCGCTCGCCATCTCCGAGACTGGCGGCGCGTTCGGGCACCCGGAGCGCGACCCGGGCCTCCCGAGGGGCCTCCCTCTCGGGATCTCTGAGACGGGGGTCAGTGCAGGCGGGGGTCAGCCAGAGCGCCGGATCCTGCAGGATCTTGCAAAAGCCAGGCTGCACCGACTGGGACTGGCGCGCGGGATCTTGCAGCGTCCCGCAGAGTACGACTGGCCTGGCTTTGGATTTGCCTGGGCCAGCAGATCCCCGGGTGAATGGTGCCACCACGCGTGCAGGAGTCGAGCAGCGTGACCACTGCGGAGGCAGGGCATGGCATCAGGAGGGGGGGTGGGGGGCAGGCTGTCTGTGGCGACGCAGAGGGAATTGTTTGAAGCGCAGGAAGAGAACGGGGAGGAGCGAAGAAGCAACATCTGCATCGGCATAAACTTTTGGGATCCGCGCGGATTTCCCTGGCGGTCCCCTCCTCCTCCTCCTCCTCCTCCTCCTCCTCCTCCTCCTCCTCCTCCTCCTGGAAGGGCGGCCCAGACGCTCTGCGCTGGGGTCCCCAGGCGGCGCCTCTGGCGCCGCCCCCAGCGCGCGGAGCGCGCCGGGGGGGGGGGGGAGTCCAGCGCGGAGCGCGGAGCGCCAGCAGTTTATGTCTGCGGCGTTGTTTCTTCCCTGTGGAGGAGTCGGAGGGAGGGGGGATGAGCACGGGGGGCGAAGGGAGAGGAGGCAGGGGGGAGAGGGAGGAGGGAGGAGGAGGAGGAGGAGGAGGAGGAGGAGGAGGAGGAGGAGGAGGAGGAGGAGGAGAAGGGGATTGAGGACGGGGAGCGAGGGAAGAGGAAGCAGGGGGGAGAGGGGGGAGGGGGAGGAGCGGGCACGAGGAGGGGCCTCCCGTCGCAGCCTCGCGCGCGGGCCCTGCCTCCCTCTCCCCCCCCGCCTGCCGACGTCAAGTCGGGCATGTCCCTCTGCACGAGGAGTGCTCAGAAATAGTAAACACTTTTTTACCATCCGTAGGGGGCCCAGCGGCGAGAACGGGTGACAACAGAGCGCAGAGAAGCCGGAAACGAGGAAGGAGGAGGAGGAGGAGGGGGAGGCGGGGAAACAAGAAAGCACAGCAGCGCGCCCCGGCGAGCGCGAGGGGCCAGCGGCAGCCCAACGCGGCCGCCGCGCAACTAATTAACAATTAGTAAACATGTTCCCTGACCTTCCAGGAGGGCTAAAATATAGCACCCGACCTAAAAACCTATCCCAGGGCTATTCTACGTCTTGGTTTTCGGCTGTTTCGTTGAGCTTTTTAGGTTTTTCGGCCACCAGTGCTAAAAAATAGCTCTCTGGAAGGTCAGGGATGTCCCTCTGCACGAGGAATGCTCAGAAATAGTAAACGCATTGACCTGGGGACTGCTTTTCGCATACAGTCAGTGCTTGCACTGAAGGGGTCCTAGCGGAGGCTGAAAGATTTGGCGAAGGGTTCCCGCCGATTTTGGTAGCAGGCTGGGTTCCCGGGTTCCTGATTCCGGGCTCCCGGGTTCCCAGTTGTTGATTCCGGGCCGATGTCGGTGGGTTCTGGGCTCCCGGGCTCCCTTGTTCCCGGTCGATCTTCTCTCAGCGAAAACCATCCACTGATTGGGGTTATTTTCTCTGGTGTAGTTTTTCTTCCAAGGCCCGCCTGGAGGGGGACGTGCCCGACTGCCGACGGCACGGCGTGGCGCAGACCTTCCCTCCCAGACCCCCGACGTCGTGATTTTTTCATGACGTCGACCCCCAGAGATCTCGACCCATTCCCCGGGACCGGTTCTTCATCCTGAGTCGTTTTTGGACGGTCCCGAGGGCCGGTGAGGGGCCCCAGAGGCCGAACATTAGGAAAAACCTCCCGTCATGATTTTTTCATTACCCGAGGGGGTCTGGGCGAGGAGGAGGAGGAGGAGGAGGAGGAGGAGGAGGAGGAGGAGAAGGAGGAGGAAGAGGAGGAGGAGGAGGAGGAGGGGCGTGGCGCAGACCTCCCCTCTCGGCGAGCTCC